GTCAGAGGCCAGGAAAACACATCCTGATTCAATGGGCTGGTCCCACCATTCAAATATGGTGCCACGTGGTGATCCTATTTATAAGTCGTAACAATTCTTGCTAATTTTTTCAAGTTACAAAGAAGGTTTTTGAGGGCTTTGTTTCAAGGATCACATATATCGGCTCTGACACCGTGTTGAAGTAGGTAAAGAGATTTTCTTATCGATAATTTAGAACGAGCGTGTAAAATGGTTTATACAGGGATGAACCTTTCAATTAGTTTCCTGTAATTTTGGCTATGTAATCTCCTACAATTAGGTAATATATCAATCTATGATTTGTGCACACCTAGCAGTCTCTAAGAATGGAAAGATAATTACAAGAAATCAGAAAGACAATTACTCGTAACTTCAAGCATCAAAGGGAGCAAAATTGTTTTAGGAAGACATCATGAATTTGATCGGGATCCGATTATTTTCTTTTGACCTCTTCAGTTAATGTGTGAGTTAATTAATTTTAATTTATCAGAATGTGCGCGTTTGAATGATTTTATATATTAAAGTTGAATTCCTATTATCCCATAAACTACAATTCCAGAGTTCGATTTCATCGAAGTTAAATCCCTTAATTTTATTTCTTTAACGTTAATTCCCTCAATTTATCAGCCTGCTGATACTCTATAGACATGGTCAATGGTGCTCAAAGAATACAAATATTATATTTCGAATGACTATCGAAAATTAAAGTCTTTGTCCACTTTGTTCACTTATTTTAGCTGTCTGTGTTGAATATTCTCGGTTGACAGCAAATTTTGCTGTAGGTTTAGAGTTGTAAGGTGGGTCCAGCTCCTTAGGCCTATGTGACTTGGTCAAACGTTGCATTTTGTCAGTTGGAAATCCAAAGAATCAGTGAAGGGCAATCTCGTGGGAGGGAAAGGAGAGTGCTACAAGGAATTGACTTTTTAAAAGTACGAACTCCCGGTTTGATATTGCTAAAAAATTTGATAAAAATTTAAGTTAAAGTTAATGATTAATTTTTTTCTCACAATTCATAGGATTAGCCTGCCACATTTATTTATAGAGGAAGGTTCGTTTGAAATGTCTATGAAATTGCATTTAATTTATTTTAATTTTCATTTATAAGGACATCTCAACTGCAACGATAGAGAACTTTTTGTTTGCCCCTACCAGAGTAATTATACAAATCTTTCATTTCAATTGAATAAATTCTTTTGAGGGAAATCACTTTCCGCATGGCTTTCGCAGTTTCGAGTACAATGTTGTTCGTCCTTCTGGTTTTATTACCACTCTCAGCCACAGCTCAGCCTTACAGGAATGTTTCTTTGGGGGGTTCATCAATAACTGCAAACAATGAAAATTCCACATGGTTATCTCCATCTGGAGAATTTTCTTTCGGCTTCCAGCAGATCATTCGTGGAGGTTACTTACTGGCAATCTGGTTCAACAAAATACCCGAAAGAACCATCGTTTGGTCGGCCAATCGCGATAATCTCGTCCAAGAAGGATCAAAAGTTCAACTACTTGCAGATGGAAGGTTTGAAATGAGTGATCCTAGAGGCCAGAGGATATGGGCTGCCACTTTGTCTAGTGTTGGAGTGGCATATGGAGCCATGCTTGACACTGGTAATTTTGTGTTAGCAAACACCAACTCAGATGTTTTGTGGCAGAGTTTTGATGAGCCAACTGATACATTATTACCAACACAGACACTGAATCAAGATGGCACACTTGTTTCCAGCTTCTCTAAAACAAACTATTCGAGAGGGAGATTCCTCTTCTCATTACAAAGTGATGGAAATCTTGTGTCTTACACCAGAAATTTCCCCATGGACAACGTTCTTTTTGCTTATTGGTCAACGCAAACTGTGGGCAGTGGCTTCCAGGTGATCTTCAACCAGTCAGGCTATATCTTTCTGGTAGCAAAAAATGGAAGTGTACTCAATTTTGTGTCTTCAAACGCGGCCTCGACGAGTCAGTTCTACCAGAGAGCAATACTGGAATATGATGGGGTTCTAAGACATTATGTCTACCCTAAGTCTGCTAATTCAGCAGGTGGGAGAGCAATGGGGTGGTCTACTATGGACTTCATACCTCCGAATATATGCACGCGCATAACACAAACGACAGGCAGTGGTGCCTGTGGTTTTAATAGTTTCTGCGCATTGGGAACTGATCAAATACCAATGTGTGAGTGCCCTCTTGGTTACTCGCTCATAGATCCAAATGACAGAATGAGTGAATGCAAACCAGATTTTGCTCCACAAAGTTGCAATGAAGAGACAAGTGAAGCTGACCTTTTTAGTTTCAACGATATGCTCAACACAGATTGGCCTCTCTCTGATTATGCTTATTTTCAGCAAGTCACAGAAGATTGGTGTCGACAGGTTTGCCTCGATGATTGTTTTTGTGCTGTTGCGATTTATAGAGACGGTAATTGCTGGAAGAAGAAATATCCTCTCTCCAATGGGAGGGTCGATCCTAGTGTAGGGGGGAAAGCTTTGATAAAAATAAGAAACAGCAACGCAACAGCAGACGTCTCTGGCTCTAAGAAGAGTAAACGATCCATTCTGATCATCACCGGATCAGTTTTCTTAGGCAGTTCCATGTTTCTTAATTTTCTCCTACTTCTATCCATCTTCTTGTATGCTTTCTGTTTCAGTAAAAAAAAATCGAAGGGGCTTAAACCATATTAAGTTCTTCCGGGCCTGAACATAAGAAGATTCAGTTTCAAAGAGCTAAAAGGAGCGACAAATGGATTCAAGGAGGAATTGGGCAGGGGTGCTTATTCAACAGTGTATGAAGGAATTATTAAGAACGACAATACTGAAACCGTAGTTGCTGTGAAAAAGCTGCATAAGATGGCTACAGAAGGTGAGGAAGAATTTAAAGCCGAAGTAAGCTCAATTAGCAGGACTAATCACAAAAATCTAGTTCAATTGCTGGGATATTGTGATGAGGACCAAAACCGGCTTTTGGTATACGAATTCATGAGCAATGGCTCTCTTGCAAACTTTCTTTTTGAAAATTCAAGGCCCAACTGGTACAAAAGACTGCAGATTGCATTTGC